GAAGAGGCTGGGAATGCAAGACTGACAAGACACGCCAGCTGGTATCTATAGATCAAAACTCAAGCTCTGCTCTGGACAAGTGCCAATTTTAAATAAAACCAGTTAAAAATAGAAACTTGCCCATTCAAGTAGGAATTCAAAGGTAACTGAATATGGTGATGACCACATTGCACCTCTTGTTGTCACTAGTTACAGAGAATGATACACTTTGGTCATCGTCATAGAGGTGGGGAAAGTACACTGAGTCAACTAGTCAGTTTAAAATCAAGTCCAGGTGGTAGTGAATTTAAAAACAAAACAGACACCAGCTCCACATGATGCTCTGTTGCAGAGGATGGATGATGAGACACTGTTCAGCAGCATTTCCTGAGGGCTGACAGGACTGTGCATCCTTGCTAGAGCCTGGCGGTAGCTGGTTTTGTAAGAGCACACGGTTACGGCAAAGGCATTAAGGACAGAGAGGAAGTATTGGCTTTTAGAGTAGCCCTTCTAGCAGGCAGGCTGCCCAGCCCCATGGACAGCAGAGCCTGCTGCCTTGACAGCCTCCAACCTCTCACCTCTAAAACTGAGATATCCAGATATAGAGATATATGTAGATATTAGTAGGTATCTACGTAGGTATGTATGTGTGTTTGGCCCAGTGAGATGAGGGTCTGTGAGGGAAAATCTGATGATATTCTGATGATGGGGAGACATGCTGGTTGATGGTTAAGCCTTTTGGTTTATTCAAATTCTTAGAGTTTTTACTTAGAGTTTACCAAAAATGTTCGCAATTTATCTGAGATTTTTACGTTTCTTTACCACAGAGAGAAAACCTTCCTGAACCATCTAAATAAAAGACAGCATGAATTCTCAGGACAAATGAAGGGAGCATGCCAAGGTAATAAACAGTTCACTGCTGAGCAAAAAGAAAGAATTTGAAAATTCCAGCGTGGCAGCAGAGATTTTATAGAATATTGCAGTAGTTTTAACCTTTTAACTTGGCTGAAGTTTCTAAGGGCCCATGACAGGTATCTAGGAAGTGCAAGACTTCTGTCAGTAGGATCAAATTCACTACAGAGAATCCTTCTTCAGTAGAAATTCACTACGGTTCTATAAATTTAACATATTTGAAAGTTATTGCTATAATAAACTAGTGACAAATGTGCCTGCAATCAGGTAAAGAAGAAATAAACCTCATTAATGCAACTTCCAGAAAAAATGGTTCGGTTTTAGACAAGTAAAATCAACATATAACAGTAGTGATAGGGAGAGTAAATATATTTATTTTTTTCTAGAGTCAAGAAAGGCAGCGGAGAACTCATCAGTTGAGTGAAAGAGTCCAATGTTATTTTAAACATAAATTTCTGTATTTTGAAAGCTCTTTAGGGTCTGTATACACATTTTAAAACCACTTGGTTCAGCAAAATTTCTATGAAAAACAGTTAAAACATAATACCTCTAAACTGATTAGTTAGTTTAAGGTTAAAGAAGACCTATAAGGTATGTGATAAAGAAGTCAAGATTAGATCTTTAGTGAATTGTTGCACTGAAAAACATGGAATATATTCATGTAGTCATACATTTGGGGAGAAATATTGTGTTTAGTGTTTAGCAATACCCCTCCAGAGACTATGCCCAAAAGCTGTTAGTTCATGGAAGTGTTAGTTCATAGATCGGTTCATGAAACCACTCTAACATCTAGAGTCAAGAAAGGCAGCAGAGAACTCATCAGTTGAGTGAAAGAGTCAACAGATTCCTCCTAGGCATCTTTTCCTTTTGGTATTAATTGCAGGTTACTTAGCATTTAGTATTTATCAAAAGATATCTGATAATATACGGATGTTGGGGGCCCTTGAAAGCAACATAGCGAATGGCATTGCTACCACAACACAAAGCAGCGCAAGTGTGGGGAGAGAGTGAAAAAGGAAAGGCGGTGTTAGAAGCCACACAGGGTTTTGACAAGCGGCATCCAGCATCAACACAGTGAAAATTTATCTGTGCATACATTTTCAGAGCTATATTCCTTGACATTATGCTTTTTTGATCCACAAGTTCAGCAATGTAGGTTTGCAAATTCTAACAGAAGCCTGGGAGTTGCAGAACATAACTTTTTCTGTATCAAAGGAAAAATTACATTATTTGAGCATGAAACAAAATGTATGTTCAAAGACAAAAATTTCAGCAATTTGATGACAGTAGCACATTAGGTCTAATCTGTGACTATTGGCGCTTATTTCTCAGTAACAGCAAGGATGGTGTAACCAGGGACATACTGTTACTTATTCTCCTGCTGATTCACTGCACCTCCCTTCTGACAAATAAAAGTCCTAAAGAATATTTTGTCTGGATCTGTTCCAAACATGTTTTTTTCTTATCTTCTCTAATTAGGAAAATCCTTTTTTTCTTAAAATGCATCCATATATTTTGAGGATATAACAAACAGTAGGTCATTTTTGTTATATAATAATAAAGAAATCTCTAAAGCATTAATATAGATAAAAGTTCTGTGTTATATAATAATTAAGACATTGAAGGTATTTCTAAGTTGTTTTTAGCTCATATGCAATAGCAGTTTGATATTCACATACTTTTCCTAGCATATACTCAGGCATTTTCATAAATTTTGGTTGGCATATAGAAGATTAATTCATTCTGATATAGCTCAAGGTTTTTCATTATTCATACCTCATTTAAAATATCTCTAACACATAATTTCGATTGTTAAGTAGAAGGAGATCAATTCAGAATATATATGAACAATGTCTGTTGCATCTTTTAACTCTCTTTTTTTTTTTTGGCCATAGACATTTAAAAGAAATTTCATGTATTCGAGGTACAAGAACGTTTTGAGCTACCTCTTATTTTTTCTAATTATTAGTCCCAAAAATAAAATCCCAAGGATTTTCTTTTTTTTCTTTTTTTTTCTTTTTTTTTTTTTTTTTGTTCAGGTGACTATATTCTTCTTTTTCTTCTACATTTCGGAAACCCTGAAATAGGATTAAGATAGAAACAGTGCCAGGTGAACCCTTGCAGGTCCATTAAAATTAGAAATAAGGCTGGACAAGCTTGTTTTTTAAGAAAATATCAATACTATGACGTGTTTTAACATTGTTGTGGACAGAGGTCTTCTGGGCTGGCTCAGGACTCGGTGTTTGTTTTGCTACATTTCTAATATGGGTTAGAGGGTGGCAAGGCTTTCTTGCAGGGAAACATCTCTTTGTAGGTCTTCTGATGATATTGGGGCTAAAGGCAGAGACACTGCTGAAGTCAGTGACTTACCAGGCGTAGCGGATGTTCTCTGAAGTGTTGAACTTTCTGCTGCTGAGATGTAGAAAGCAACTGCTATTGATGATTATACTGGGTAATACCTTATCAGGCAGCTGATTCTGTGGTGGTCACATATGGATAATGTTCAGTTTTGTGCTATTCTGTAGCAAAAAAAAATGTAAGTGCAAACCCCCATTTTTGTATATAGAAAGTGAGCATCCAGTTGTGTTGCAGTTTATTGAATATATCGGCCCTAGGCAATTGTAAGTGGAATGCATATTGCAGTTTGCATTTTGAACAACACCCAGCATCTCTTCCTTTTCATATAGCCTTATATAGACTATAGCAGAGATTTTAAAATATTCAGTTTACTTACAAATTGAATACTTGATGCAAGCAGGCTAAAGCAGAAGAAACAGGAAAGGTCGCAATTTAGTAATACTAGACTAGGCGGCCTTCTCTTGGTCTCCTACTTCTTCATGTACAGCCAGAGAGGATGGGAGCTTGTAGTCCCTGTGCTGCACACAGTTGCAGAGCTTCTCAGGTGATTCTCTTCCACCCAAGGTAGGACACATAACCAATTGTGTAGAGCATTTGGGAAATGTCCCCTGGGATCAACAACGTTGGCTAGCAGTGATGAAAGAATCTAAGGAGACAACGCAGCATGGCAAAACAGAGTAACGGCATATTCTTTATCAATATTATCACACAATTTGAGAAAATGCGTGTTCACTCTGTACAAGTGAAATCTGGAAAGAAAGAATACAGTAGCTTAATATTAAAAAAAAAAAACAGATATGATAAATTACTCCTTCCAGGTGAAAATTTTGCTGTAAGCTCTTAGATAAGGTCTAAGGAGGGTTTGGCCACAAAGGTCTGGGAGGAATAGCTACCTCCTGGAAATCATCAGGAACTCGCTTTAGTCATTACTTAAGTGATTTAATGATGATCTCTATGAATAGGCAACCTGCCAAGGATTTTGGTGATGCTGAAGTCAACAATATATTAGTGGCAAACCAAAACCTGTTTCACTTTAGGATGAAAATTAACACTGTGCACATTTAGGATCAGGCCTTAAAAGAAAAAGTACTAAAATTAAATTCAACACAGACATTGCTTGTATCTACCATAGGAAATTTACTGAAAGGATGTAAACAAGAAAGAAAAAAAGAATCAATGACTTTGACAATGCAACAATTTCTTTCTTTATACAAAAGATGGAATATCAACCTGAATAAAGAAAAAATATAAGAATATATATAGTGTATGCGTGAAAAATTCAAGGTGAAAACTTAATCAGAGTGACAATGAAAACAAAATAGCCTTATTTTTAAAAGAAGTCTATAAGAGAGTTAAGCAGGAAATCTACTTGCCGTCCTAAATATGCTCACATAATTCTACTAAATAACTTACAGTGAACAATAGTCTTTTTTGTAAGTTCTCAGGATATCAGCAAGAGGAGGACTAGAAAGGACAAATGGGTCTTGTGGATTAGTAGGGCATGCAGGGATTTGTGTCAACATTTTGGAGGAGTTCGATGATGTGTTTGCCACAATTTTGTCACAGAGATGTGGGGAGTTAGCTAAACTCACATTTTGCAAAAATACACATGGGACAATGAAAAGTAAAGTCCAGTAATAAAATAATAATTTAAATATCATAAAGTTTTCTGCTTTTTGTTATTCCATATGCCAAAGCGCCTTTGAAACACAGTATGAAATTGAGAGATGTTTACCTCACATTCATGTGTATTTCTTCAGAAACCTTTGCCGTAGCTTAGAAGCAGCATATCTGCAATGTGATGCAGGGGTTGCTATGGTGAGTTCACATTTCATATTTAATACTGTACCTGAGTAAACAGACATTGTAACAACCTGTTAGAAGTGCTATTGGTAAAGTTATGTCAGCATTTCTATCATGAATACTTGTTCTTGTATTGAAAATTGGCCAAGATAGGAAAAAAATATTTTCCTAAACCAAATCCAGACAAGTTTTTGCACTTCTTCAGAGCTTTTTTTTGTGGCTTTGAACACTTTCAGAAAATCTCTGTCTCAAAAGTCAAATTAAAAAAATCAGTGAGTTAGTTTCTATGCTTGAGAAGGCAGTGATTTTTATGTCAATTATAGCACTTTTCATTTAGAAAAATCTTCCAAAAATTTGGGGAAAGTTAATTTTCTTTTCACGGTTAAGTCTGTGCCAGTGGGCATTCAGTCAGGCATTAATTGCATTACTTATTTTACAGCCCTTCAGTTCTGCCAGAGTGACATAAAGAGACTTTTGTAGAAAGGAGAATCAGGCCCCTAGCTCTAGTATTTAATGATTCAATTTAACTAAATGGCATCAGAAGTTTAACTTGTAGACTTCGGCACATGCTTTTTGAGCAATTACTTGAGTGTTCTCCAGGATAACATATAAGAAAGCAGTGTATTGCTAGAAGTAATCAAATACATCTATCTTTTTGGCACTTATTTATTTTTTCTAATCATTACCTTGGAAAAAGAGTAAATAACTTTCAGAGCAGGTTTTTTTCTTTATGAGATCCCCTGTGTAGGTCAGGATAACTCTTGCATTATTCATTTGTATAATTTTTTTGGTTGGCCTGATTAAATGTTTTCCTTTCATGAAATTCTTTTTAATTAAAGCAACTTTTGTAGGCAACGTCTGCATTCCTAAAAATCTTTCTTTCTAAATAGTAATATTATTCAAACAAAACTTCTACAATCATATTTTTAAATATATTTTTTCTAAGGATTGTAGAGGTTAAGGATGGGAGGGGAAAAATCAAAATTTACCAAAAAGCAAGGAAACATACATCCTTGTCCAGCTTTCCCATAAGATCTGATTATTATGAGAGGACTTGCTTATGAGCCTGTATGTTGATCTTATGATGACTGTAGGTTTAACTGGAACTGTTCCTTCTGTGCTTCATAACAGCCAGTAACAGTGGATACCCATTACAGTATTGGCTGAACAGTGAGACTGAACAAACACATCTTTCCCGTAAGTCAGGAAGAACACAGTTGGAGAAATTCAAACAGATCATAAATGTACACCATTAGATGGTAATGAGAAGGTAAAGATATTACTCAAATTTAGTAAAAAAGAGAGAAGAGAGATGTTTAGGATGTTGCCTCGACATATGCTATAGAAGCTGTTGTTTTACACAACAAATCAAGGCCCTTTGTGTTAAATGAGGTTGTATATATCCCTGAAATTGTTTTGATGGTACTTTTGGTGGTGGTGATTGTTTTAAAGTGCTACAATATTTGGATGTTACTGCCCAACTACTTGTTCAGTTTCTGCAACATCATATAATAGGACAGATATTCACCTCCACAAAATCCAATGTCATGGCTCTAGAAGAAGATGAGAAATAGAGCTGCACTTGCAATCTTTCATTTTAAAGTCTTCTTTCCAAATATAAGCCAATATCTACCTTTGCAGTGTTCAGGGTCAAGAGCTTCAACACTAGTTGCAGTATTAGAAAACGCTATCTAAAAATACAAATAAAGGAATAATAGAATACAATGAATTCTATGTGTTTTGAATAATGGAATATAATGAGTACTACATGTTTCATGGTACTCAGCTATGAGAAAAAATAAGACTAAAACATCAGTCTATCACTTTTCAGGAATCATCACCATAAAGCATTAATAATTAATCATTTCTTTCCTTTATGTTCCTGCATCTGCTTTTTCCACAGCAGTTATTTTTAGACATATTCACTGATGTGCAAAAAAGTCCTTCTAAGAGGGCAAGTCAGTGTATTTGATTCTTACTTTTATTTGCATGTATAAAAAATGGAGCAAGGAGTTCTACATTTAAGGATCTTCATCAAAAAGCTTATAGACCCCAAGTGGATCACTGTCCAATATCAGCAGAGTAATCCAGAACAACTCTGTTAGTCTCATTCATGATAAGATACCAATGAATTTTCAAAAATACAGACTCCAGAAAGTACTACTTGGACTATTCTGATAAAGAAGTCACAAAATCAGCAGAAAATCATCATACACATGAAAGCAATGTGTTCAGAACAACCTCTACCACCCTTTCGAGGGGAAGTGGCTATATGCTGAAGTAGCTGACACTTCCCTGGTTCGTTAAGGACATTCCCAACCAGAATGCATTTGAAGCATAACCTAGAGAGGGCAAAGGTATGGATTATAATATCAAAGAGCCACAAGAAGTGGAAATAAATCTAAGTCCAAAACATGCTTTAAATTTCATACCTCTTTGATACTGCTTCTTGTATACACCACTTTTCTGTAGCACAATGAGTTGTTTTGGACTTAGTTATAAATTCTCATTGCTTTTGTTTTGTGATAAAACCCAGTATTCCTCAGTGGAAACATCACTGGTGGTCTGCTAGGCTTGTAATCTTCCTCTTTATGTTAGAAGATTTGACTTGGTTTTGTTTTGTTGCTCTGACTCTTAGGATCAGTAAAAAAATCAGAATCACGGTGTGATAGTGTTAATCGCATGAAAAGTCAGTAATACCATCTGAGTGCATAAAGTTCAGAGACAAGGAAGCTTCATCATTAGTCCATTAATATTTTGACTGAATGAATTTCTCTTTCAAATCATGGAAGCCATAGCCTTGCATAAGATATCGGATGTTAGACCTCACCATAGCTACAGAATTCAGAGTCTGATAGAAACAATTAAAAATCAAGAATCATGTTGTTAAGAAAAACTTAAGAATCCTAAGAAGTGCTATGTTAAGGTCAGATGCCTAATTAAAAGATGAGCACAGTATATTAAACAGTTAAAATATTCTTCAAGCACTAACTGATTTTCTCAAAATCGTTGCAAAATAGTAAGGCAATTCTTATCACACTTTTCTGATAATTAGAACTGAATAAACTGACTTAAAAAATATCATAGCACACTGATGAAAACCATTTTGCAGGCGGTAGTGGTAAATATTACCACCTTGATATTACCACAACCTTAATGATTTAGTTGATTGACTTGATGATTCTGATTTCATAATTACCTTGGATGTTATATCCATGTACTGGTAACTCTATTAATAAACAACAGAGCTAGCCCAATTTGTCTCAAAGTATTTATAAACAAGAAAAGTTCATAACACCATAAAACTATAATATCTTCCAAATTAACATCATAAAACTATAATATCTTCCAAATTTTCTATCAAATCAGAACAGTAATTTACAGGACAGTTTTAACTGCTATTATCCTCATTCCTTATGTTTTCTGCTTTATTCCTTTACTTAATCCAACATTTAATTTTGAAAGTTTAAATATTGTTTCAGAAATAATTGTAAAATAAATTTCGAAGGAGAAAGAGGGGAAAATCCATAATAAATTAACAAGAATCAGAAAATACTGCTAGAATTGTGAAAGCAAAGATTAAGAGCCAAAGAACAAAGCTTTGCTATCTTAAGGCCATCTCTGATTGCCAAAAGAACATGATTTTTTTCTAGTCTTTCTTCCTTTTACAGTGTAAACCTTAGAGGATGATAACGTTACTCAAACAGAATTCCCTTTGACAGCACTAAGAGCTAAGCATGAATGAATATCTCAGAATTCAGTCCATGTTTCTACTTAGTGGTTTATTGCCTACAGACACCAAAGCAAGTGCAGATACAGAGCAAAGGAGATTGCAAAAGACTGGTAGTGTATATAAATATCTCAAGGGAGGCAGTGAGGAGGATGGGGCTGACCTCTCTTCAGTGCTGGCCACCAATAGAACTAGAGGTAAAGGCCACAAACTGAAGCACCAAAAGTTCCACAGGAACTTAAGGAAAAATTTCTTGACAGTGGGGGTGACAGAGCACTGGAATAGGTTGCCAAGAGAGGTTGAAGAATCTCCTTCTCTGGAGATCTTCAAAACCTGCTTGGATGCAGTCCTGTGCCACGTGCTCTAGGTGACCCTGTGTGTGCAGGGGGGTTGGACTAGATGATCTGTGAAGGTCCCATCCAATTTTAAGAATTCTATGATTCTATGATAACTTATATCAGTGGCCAGTAAAGGAGGAGAGAAGGAGTGACACCAACTCAACAACGTTACACTAATGTCCAACCATTTGACACTTCATATTCCTTTTTTTGGAGCTTGGCTGTAGAAAGTGGCAAGCCACCTCCAAGAGAGAAGGAAAAATCAGAGAAATTTCTCCTGCTACTTCAAGTTTAGTGTTGACAGGTTGAAGAGATTCCCATACAGACATTGGCAGAAGAAAAGCTACAGCAGAGCCCAGAAAGGAAGTGAAAACTGGCCAGTATGACTGGCTCAGGAGACAGATACTTCCACCTCTAAGTCACAGCACTGAACCTCGCCCAGGACAGGGGCAACTGAAAAATCAATGCTCTCACTGGTTGCTGCTGAAGATGTTTTGTGAAATTAATCAGTTAGTCCAGCTACCCACATCATAAAAACCCTTGTCATCCCATCTTTGTCTAAGATGTCTAAGGCAAATTAGAGTAAAATCTGGAACAAACCTTGTATCTTGGATTGGACTGACGTCCTCTGTACAGCAATTCTTGATTTTCTCTTGCCAAAGTGATGAAACTAGAGTAGCTAGATAATATCAAGCCAAATATGGACAAGTAAGAGCTCCATACACAAACACTTCTAGAAATAGAAGTATATTCACTTTCAAACAGAAATATGACTGAGCAGTACAGAGAGACACAGCATCTGCATAGGAATAGGGATGTTTCCCACATCTCTACTTAAATAGTACTATAGAAAGCAAATTTCTCACCACATTATGCTACTTGCAAAAACAAAACATATTTTGTCTTCGGAGTCTCTTTGTTTTGCTTAAATGGAGGTGGGGAGAAATGCAGTTCATTCCATCAACATGTTTAAATAGTGCCTTTGAGAAAGGATTCAGAAGCAAATATGTACCGTTGCACTGGGCAGCTGCTCTTGCGGATTTCCAGTTAAGCAAACATCTATTGCAAGGTATGTCTCGTAATGAGGTTGTTTTCTCTAGACTTTTTATAAGGTCATGGACATAATCTGGGAACTGTGCTTTTCATTTTTACGAAATTAGCAATCGATATTTATGCAAAATTACCCAACACCATATCAATAATAGCAGTGCATGATGTGCAGTGCAAAAAAAAAAAAAGAAAAAGTTTGTTTCCTGTGAGAGATGTTCATATCCAGATTTTGATTTATATTGTGCTTAACCGAGTCATAAAGAGTAAGTTACAAAACTTATAACATGATAAATATATTTTAATATATTATTCATAAAGAGGCACATAAACTAATGTTTATGTTCACAAGTAAATGTAAATATGATTCCATTCTAACAGTACTTGTATATCTAATTTCCCATTACATTTCAATAAGAAAGAGTGAAGTAAGAAGCATCTTTGCAGGATTCATGACTGCTCACTGCAGCGTATTTGCAGTCTTCTCTGGCATGCTCATTCCAGTTGCTGAGCTAGGAAAAAGATTTTATTAACATAATTTACTAAAAAGAAATACCAACTGCCTATTACAAGTCAAGAAATAATTTTCTTTTTAAATAACTACAAATACATAGGTATCTACGAACAAATTTTCTCACTAGGAGCCATCTTAAGCAGCACAGTAAATATATGTGTTTGCAACTACAGAAAGAATAAACCTTCCAACCTGTACTTCTTTTCTAACTGCTTTATAGCAGTATGGAGTTATAGCAGGTTCCCAGATTCCATACCCCGATTTTAAGTCAGGTGCTCAAACTGTAGTGAAGTGCCTGGCTTTGTTCATCTCTGATTCTCAGCAGCTGTGTTTGAATTGAGAGCTTGATTGACAATTATCTCACCTTGAGAGAAACTTGATTACCTGGGCTATGAAAAGAGCTTGTGGACTATGTTATAATGTTTCATGATAAACCATTCCTTTTTTTTCCCTACTTCTTCATATTTGCTTGTAAACACTCAAAACTATCATTTTTAAAATTAAGCCTAAAGCAAGCAGTGCTTGTTTTGGGGATAATCACTTAGTAGGAAATAATGTTCCTTTATAATACCGAGCAGATTTACCTATGTGGATTGGGATAAACTCTGTTAATTTGGGATTAAAGAGAAAATGAAAAAAAAAACCAGCAATAAAGGCCCTTTGATGACAGTAGGGGATAAGCAATGGAAAGTGTTTTTGCTGCGGACTAATCAGAGCGTAATTGCTAAAGGAACCAACCTTTCATTAATTGGAAAGGCAGTAAACTCAATCACTCACAGGGCCAAAATATTGCAGTTCTGTTGAAGAATTTTATTGAACTAATTGATTTAATTGCTTTAAGTGATGTTGTTATAAGAGTCATTATTAAGAAAATTTATTTTCAATATAGTATTCTGAAACATAAAAGCTTTTTATGAGGCAAGTGCTTTCCCTTAAAAAAAATGAGACAAAGTTTTTCATTTTAAAAAGCAACTTGACTATGTTACATTTTGTTTGAAATTATCAGCACTTGATTTTAGATGTCATCATGGGTAAAGTGAAGCACTTTGTAAGTGAAGGGTACTTTAGCTATGTCCAGACTACATTAAACAATTCTGGAGGCATTTTACCTCTTTCAGAAAAAAATCTGCCTAATCCAGGTGGAATGGATCAGAGAAGTCAACCTTCTGCTTTCATGCACCCCATCGTCCATTAATCTCTCATCCTGAGGGCACCCTGTGCAAGTGCTCTACGCTCCTCTATAGCTCTCCAATCAGTTTAAACTGGAAAAAGCAGTCTGGCTTACCTTCCAGTCCTCTCCTGTGCCTGCTTATTGCCACTTCCACCTCTCCCTCTCTCCCTTCTGCCAGAGGTTCATGAAGCCACATAGTGAATGGGATCAGGGCAAAGCTCTGTGTTAAAATGAGCCTTTTTTCCCCCGCTCACATATGTATGTATGACTATTTGCAGTCACTGGGGAAGTAAGGAGAGTGAAAACAGTGATTGGGTCACTGGGAAGTTGGCACTGCCTCTTTTAGCATCAGCATTTGCTTATGTTGACTTAAGCTAGTTGTAGAACTATAGTGTTAGGATCGCTCCTCTGTGGTTCAGACTTAGCTGGCATCTGTGCAGCAAGGAATGGGAAACCAGGCTCGTCCTTCATGGGTTTCCTTCCCTTGCTGATAGTGTTTTAAGCGACTGAAGAATCATGTTCAGTGGCACCAGTTCTGACGCAACACCACATAAATTTAAAAGTGAAGGGGGAATGTTTTGTATGATATTGTTACCCTATATGAACTGAGACCACAGTGTGCTGACCATGTCTAGGTAATTTTGCTGTGGCATGTCAATAAATATTTGCATCACTACAAAACCAAGCAAACTGCTTGGGTGGATTTTATGCCACAGTGAACCTCTAGTGTGTTTCTAACAATATTCCGTGGGTTACCAAAGCATAGAAAATCCTCATGAAGCTAGATTTGCAGGGGAAGGTAATGTAAATTGTTAGATCAAATAATAGGATTCGGGAGGGAAAATTCTCCTTTCCAGATTCCAGGTCTGAAAGACAGTTCTGTTGCATCTGTTAGTCTTTCAGATAAGGTACACAATTAAGAAATATCACTTGTGACTGGGTTTCTGTAGTGTGACTTTTTTTGATCAGTATTTGTGTTCAGAAAGTCACTTGGCAGAAATATTGCCATCAAAAGCTGTGAACTCAGTGTGGCTCAGAAGTCCAAAGGGCTCAGTTAAGTGCTTGGAAATACTCTGAGCCACGATTTTCCATAAATATATTGCGGCTGCAGGATGCAAATAGCATTCTCATTAGTTTTTTTTTATCATTGTTACTTTCAGTTATTACATGTTTCTTGCTGCTTTTCCTCTTGATCCAATCCCACTGTTCTAATAATCATGCAGACAAGCAGCATATAACCATTCCCATCTCACATTTTAGGAAAGAATAGAACATTTTAGGAAATTTCATGAATCAGGATTAGTAGTGCGGAAGGAATCCTCCCTATGAAGTGCCTCTCAGAATTAGGTACCGTCCTGAGAGATAAAGGGCAATCTGTTGGGTCAGGCACAGGCTACCAACACATAAAGTTGTTGGATCGATAGTTTGATCACAGAGAGCAAAACCTTGTAAAATTTTCACGGTTTGCTCAGAGCAAAAGTATGCTTTTCACAAGGTAGCAGGAGGGATATAAAAACATGACAGTGTAATAAACATGTTTCTGCTGGTATAATAAACATAATTTTGAGCTTTCAGAGCTGAGCCAGATTTCTCTTTTTGAAGAGGAAAAATGCTCAGCCAGGCATTGTCTCATATGACAAATGATAATAATGAGCAATAACAATAATATGAATCATTGTTATAAGTCATCTGGTGATTCTTTTTTTTTTTTTTTTAGAAGTTAATAAAGCATTATAAAAAGTCACTACCATGGGTTAAGGACCACTATCAAGGAAAATATTTGAGCTGCCAGAGACAAAGCTTTTCCAGATATGAAATTTCAACAAAAAAGTAATAGCAGAAATGTTTCACATAGGCTATGATTCTGATCTGTTTAACCCCTCTGGCACTCTGTCTTTTTTATGCAGCTTTATAATATAATTCATTCTGTTAAATAGCAGGGGATAAATGACACTCTATTTTTCCTGAGAACCTCTGAGCTCCTTTGCTGTTCTTATCTAGATGTTCAAGCGAAATAGGGATGTACTAACCACCTCCTGCATTTTGCAGATAGAGGACTGGGAAGAAGAGAGTGCGTTAGGACTATGAAGGACATGTAGACCTCTTATTCTGAGCTGCTATGAGGTGTGTTTTGGGTAGATATGTTAACATTTCCCATGCTCAAAGCCAGCCACATCCACGGGACTCTCAGTAGTCCAGCATGGAGGAGAGTCAAAGCTTTGTTAGATTCCAACAGTCTCATTCTCCTATTTAGTGTGTTCTGGACATATATAACACACTAGGCTTGAGCAAAGAAATATGTATTTTTTTAAGAGTCTGTTTTCCCCAGGTCCTAAGCTGCTCAGCCTTGCCTGCGTGGTGGCAGTGCAGGACAAGGACACTGACCTTCCCTTGGGGACCTCCCCAGGGAAAATTCAAGTGCCCAACACATTGGCATGAGCTTTAACAATCACCCTAGTGCCTAAGCTCTTTGCAAATATGGCCTTAGAGGTGAATTCAAGATCAAATAAAACTGCAACTAAACCAAGAATTCAGTTTCATGTTCTGGACTACCTATGGGGCCATCATTCTGTAGAATCTGAGGACAGCAGCTTTGTTTACTGTGTATACATCTCCATCTTACCAACAAAAGAGAATTATGGACTCCTGCTCTACTGGAGAATTAAGTCCTGGGATGTATCAGTTTCACCTCTTGGTTTATGCATTTTAATAAATGGGAAATCCTTGTAAGCTGTCAACACCCATGGGTCTCTGAAGGCATGGGTTTTTTTCTCCTTGTACATATAAACCTTTTTAAGGGTGGTACCTCACCCTGATTTCTTCTGAAAAGCTGACTTTTCTCTCAGGGTCTGAGTTATGTTATTGAGTGCTGCAAAGCATTATACACTGTCCTGGCAGTACAAATAACAGTATTGCTCTCCTGCAGAGTCTGCTAAGGAAAGGGAGTTCTGATTGTTTTCACGGACTGATTATAATTGCATCTAGTTTATACGAACATGTTATTTTTATAAATAAATGTTAGTAAATTTTATACAAACTTATTGACTCATGCTACAACAACAACTGAAACACAGAACCAAATCATAGTTAACACAAACACATTCATAGATAGATTAGACAAATGCCTGTTATCAACGGTTTGCTCATATTTTCCACCAGGTCAGTGGTCTAACAAAAGTTGCAACCTATCCCCTTGTCCATCTCCTTTCCTTAGCTCATCACATGAGCTGCAGCTATGCTTCTGGTCTCAGTCAGGAAGGACCACATATTATTAATCCTAATTTGGACAAGGCAATGTGG